ATACGCGCCATTTTCAATTGATATTGCCATAGTATATTTAATATTACCACTTAAATTAGAAACATTTCTAGTGACAATTCTATAATTACTATATTATTCTGTAACAAGATATATTATTTCAATAATATTAGGTATCATAAGGCTTTTTAACTAAGTTTCAAGTAATAATAAACAAGATTTATTAATGATGCCTTTAAAAATTAGCCCCAATTATAAACACATTTATTTATTGTGGCTACACCATGATTTCTATTTTAAAAGCTGGTACATAGATGGCACTGTAAAGTAAAAAAAAAATCGAGTTCTAAGTTTGCATAGCATGGTTGAAATGCGCCGTCGTCACAACAGGCGTCCGCTCGCTGAGAGCCACAACTGATAACTGGCTATGCAGAGAAGTCGCTGTTTTGTAGCAAACAACCCCTAGAATTTTTATTTAGTATCACTGAGCAGACGCGTTATCACCAATTAGGGAGCTACTGAAAAGCAATTTTCTTTTGGAACTTAAGACTCATTTTAGAAGTACGCGCGAATCAATATATAAATCGTCGACGAAGTTGAACTTTATATAGCTTTTTAATTTATAATTAATACAATTCTTGTGATTGAATAAACGTTCAATATTAAAAAAAATTAGTCTCTGAAAAATAGTGAAAATAAAATAGTTATCTAAGAAGAAACTAGTGCACATCTAAAGGCAAATATTATCGATTTAGGTAATATTGAGGATAGACAATAAAAGTCTTATAATCTATAAAAGAACTACATGCGCTTTTATGAACGTTGTACTGGCAACCTATCATTGTTGTTTCATTTCCAACACTAAACAACCCTAATCTGCTATCATCCGATTATTATTAAATGTACAACACCAATTGCAATCGATAATAAGTCTTAATCTAGTTATAGTTTAATTCAAAATCTAATACGGAATTTTAGTTTGTGGTATCATTGACCTTTTGAACGTGTTTATACCAAGTACAAATCAATAATCGGGAGAATGTGTGATTCTCAAACAATAGTTGACAAGACTTGATAATCACGTAATTCTACGGGTTCGTGGAAGTCTGGCTAGTGTTAATATTAACGACCACAGTGCAGATCTATACACTGTGATATCATCTTACGTATACATCTATGTATCTAATAAAATAAATATGAAATCTTGTGTAATGATTTCCAACAAAAGATTTCTAACAATAATATTCATGAAATATTGTAAATTAACTTTTTTAATCGACTTCAAAGTGGACACTATTAATATTTCTGAATGATTTTTTATGCATATCCGCATATGCAGATATAGTAGTTAAAAGTAAACCTATTTTGTTGAATTTTTTTGATAGATTCATTTCGAAATTTCATGGGATTTGCATAATTGTAGCATTTGCGTAAGTTGGAAAAAAATTAACCCTGAACTAATATTTTAAAAACTAAAAAATGCCCTCAAACATTGCTAATTAAAAAATTGTATGGAGATTCGTAGTCATTGACAGTTACCGCTAGGGGCGATGTGCCGATTTCTGTAAAAGGTTTCTTGGTTTCCATTCTAAATTAAAGATGAACAAAAACGTCAAAAACTCACACTATCCCCTATGAAATAGATGATAATAATCATAATTGTGATGGTATTGCTACATAAATAAACTCATAATAAACTTTAGGGTAAAGTGACATACGAGCACGACTCATCTCTCAATGATGTTAAAAACACAGCCAACTTATAGAACTGTAGCAGAAGTAATCTAAAGAGGATAGCTTAGAAAAAATAGAAAAAACGTTTGCTAATGTTATCTTCTACTTCTTTCTTCCAAATCGATCGGACAAATCGACGTCCAAATTACCTCCGTTTTTGCGTGGGGAGGATGTGTGGTCGGAGTTTATTCAAGCCAGGCCAGTTCTACCAGGAATGCTTCCAGCTTATATTATGCTATCAAAAAAGCAATACGGAAATTAATGTGAAAGTAACACCCCTCTTTATGGGCTGTAAAATTTATCATATTTTTTATAACTAATCGGAATATTTTTCGAATAACAATACAAAATATACTAAAATGCTTATCTTGCTTAGCAAATGATTCAGCAATATTTAAAAGCCGTTCAAATTGGAAGGGGGAAGAACTATTTATTACTTAAATTGGAACTACTAAATAATTCCCAGCAATTACACCAATACGACTCATTTATAGCAGTTAAAGGCCCTGACATGCGTATATTGTATTCTATTCTTTTCAGCCTTCCTGGAGACAGTTGAAAAAAGTAGAAACAGTTTTATTTAAAGCTAGGGAATCTCTACAATTCAATGTTATTAATACAAACTACTTATTAAGAATTACTTATTACGAAATGCTTATTAAGACTTATGACGTTGTAGAGATAGAAAAAATCTCAAAATTGGTCTCAATATTATATGCCCCTCATGACGATGGGTAGTTTGGATTATCCACGATTGCTACAACATTACTAGTATAAGTTACCAATTAACAAATAATTACTTATACCACAAGTTAAAACTTTTTTCACGACTGCCCAAAAAGGAGTGTTTTGTGTTTAGGGTTAATGTATATGTATGTGAGTCTTTTTTATTATTTATTTTTTGGTGACAGCTCTAATAGCAAAATGGCTCACCATGTCACAGTATATATTTTTTATAATTTCTTACTATATCTGCTTCAGAAACAGAAACGTGCTATTAAAAATGTAATAAAAATTTAAAGTCAAGCAATTTTGAGGTCAGTTAGACATTATAAATGATAAAATCTAAAGCGTCACGTTTTCAAAATATACGAGTATGCTATCTCGAAATGCTGTCTCTGTACTCAAATATTCTGACCTCTTTGTTAAACGACAATTAATTACGTCAATTGAATGTCGTCGTATGCCACCAATGACATTCTCTATCACACTTAAGGGGAATACCCAAGGAAATATTTTTTTATATATATTTCTATAGGTATGCCTCCTATGAGGTCCGTAAGTGTGACAGAACGCACGTCAACTGAATCTTATTCCTATATTTTATTGTTAAAGATTAATTTAGCTTAAGCTAACCCTGCTTAGTTATGCTGGCTATTTTTATTACGAAATTACTATTTTATTTATTTTATTCTAAGGCTATGCTAATATTTGTCAAATAAACATCATTTTATGCAAATTAAACATATAATCGATTATTTGCAAAAAAACAGGAATATAGAATTAAATAATTGATTTGATAGAAAAAAGATGAAGCCAAAATGACTCTAAATAGTTTTTGAACGATTTTACGACATTCATTTTTTATCTTTACTATATAAACAAATTACACAAACATAAATAGGTTTGGACATGATCAAAAAAAATTTATTATTGTATTTGCTTTTTGGATATCGATTCATACCATGATACGGACATATTTACAATTGAATGTAAGTAAATAATACTATAGTGACCCGACCGGGAATCGAACACGGGCCTAAGCGACACCTTGAAACCGGCGTGCGAACCACTCGGCTATGAAGGGCTTTCTAACGTTTTATTTCCCTATACAAACTTCCACTCCCATTTTCATCCCTTTATTTGCTATTTTTCGGGATAAATTATAGCCTTTCTTCACCGCACATGATGTAGCTTCCCGTAGGTGATTTTTTTTAATCGATTCAATAGTTACGGAGCCTATTCATTATAAACAAACAACTAAACCTTTCATCCTTATGCTTTGAGAGTTTTCAGGGTTTTCATACAAATCAGAAATTCAATGCATTAATGCGAGAACAATTTAAAGATATAAGGGCACCAGCTGTTTTTCCGCTACGTCACCCGCATAAATTATAGCATATTTTACCTAGTCTTGATGTAACTTTCTCTAGCTGAAAGTAATTTTCAAAATCTAACCGGTAGTTGTCTATTCAATGCAAACAAACAATCAAATCTTTCCTATTTATAATATTAGTATGGATAATTATACGATCTGGGTGTAACTAAACCGAAATTATTCCACATCTATACAAGTTAATCTAGAATGAGTTGTTTCATTGAAAAGCAATTATTGTGCCATTTTCTCCCGATTTAGAATCATGCCCAAACCTAACTCTATAAATTAGTTGCCATATAGGAGTATGGGATAATACATGACGTCACCTAATGAATAAAACACGTCGGTAAAAAAAGGTACATCTAAAAAGTCTCCAGTTGGATAAGTGCTTGTTATCGTGCCGCTCTAGACTGAATAAGTTTTAGAGATTTTTTCACGCTTTCCAAATATTTGTGAAGCAATATTAATATACTTTAAAACAAAAAAAAAAGTATAACTTATACCTGTGTTTAAAAGGGCTAGTATGTACAGTCAAGTACAGTACAAAGACATGACATAAAAATAATATATAATTAAAATTAAGAACACTGCATTATACTCGTATTTATAAGGATTCTGTCACAAAACGTGAATTTTAAAATTGCATCTCTATTCTTTTTTTTTGTTTCGGTATAAAAAGTATAAAAACTAGCTTTCCTCCAGCGTCTTCGCCCGCAAGGTCCAGTATTATGCATATAAACCTTTATCTTGAATCACCCTGTATAAATGAGTATAGATGAACGCATTAAAATCTACTGGGTTGTTTTTTCAGATCTCAACATATAGAGAGAGGGAGGCGACTTTGTATTATACTATGTATAGATAGATATAGATATGGTGTTAACATTTATGCTGACGACTGTACAGGCGTATTTTACGCTACATCATAGTTCTGCACATTATGAATGAAAATTTGAGTCCAATACAATAAGATAGAAATTCTATGCAATGAGTACTTTTCGAGTTTTGTGACACAAAGCATAGGCGGAAGTCAAAATTCTAGTTTAAAAATATATATTTTCCAACCTCGTTTAAAATTGACAACTGTCATCAACATTCATTTACAAAGATAAAATACAATGGCGTAAACCTGTCAAAAATGAACGAGTAGATTTGTTTTAGAATAATTTATTTAATAAAACATACAAAAAAACGGATAAATTCTTGTAAAATGCCGAACACGAGGCGTCGAAGGTTTTCTGTGCAAAATGACATCAGTGGCAGAGATTCTTCAGAAACGCAAAATAGTTTAAAGAACAGGTGAGTACTAATTTAAAAACCCGGTTCTTAACATATTTCTTTTCAATGTTGCATATATAATCAAAGTTTCCAATCTTACTGATAGCGTTAGGATCTGATGATGAAAGAATAAAAACTTAGTATAGTGAATCCACGAAAAAAAAACTCAATGAAGTTGATATTTATATGAGCAATTTATTGAAAATACTCGAGATAACGATTTCTAGTGTCAGCATATTTATGGAACTTATACATTTCATTTCGTAAAAAAAATACGTATTAATTAAATTTACTTAAGTAAATTGATAACTCCTTAGTTTAACGCCACAGGCCAGGCATCATCATCATCACAATAATCAGCTGTTTTGATTCCCCACTACACGGCTCAAGCCTTCCTTATCAATGGTTAAAAAGGACGGTTTGTTCATTATTTTTATTTAATTTCAACAATATTTCATCCATATTTTTAATCACTCACAATATAGCTATCAGAACGTCGACGCTTCAAAGATAGTCATAAATAACACAGTTTCAACAAAGCCATCAAAAAATAAAATGATTCCAAATAATTCAAAAACCTTAAGCAATTTGAAAATTGTAACTGAATCTGAAAATAACACATCTACTGTAAAGTGTACAAGTACAGATAAAAATATCGGTGCCAGTTCGAGCGCCATTGATCTTTATAACATTTTAAGCGAGGAAGACACACTTACTAATGTATCTTATGGTACAGTTACTCCTAAAAATTTACCCACCAAAATGAGGGATGCAAGATTAGCTAATAGAGATATCCCTCATAGAAGAGACAAATATCCCAGGCAGCACAGAATTAAAGTAAGAAGTCCCAAACGTAGACTTCCTGTTTTGGATCAGAACATTCAGAACACTCAAGAAAAAAACAATGATGTAGAGCAACGGTCCGTAGAGATATCTCCTATAGATTGGGAGCAAGAAGTAGAAGTTATAATAGATCATGTGACAAATTTAGTCGCAATAAACGAAGAATTGCCGGTCAGAGTGAGCGATCATTCCTTAGATGATATGTGCAGAATTTGTCATGGTGGAGAGGCGCTCTCGAGTGATCTTGGACAGCTAATATCAGGTACTACTCGAAAATAATTTTGCTCCCAATAAAGTTATATTACTTGGGTAAATTTTCAAGCGTACTATTTTAGACGTACTGTATTTTTTATAAAAATAAAACTATCACTGAAAACAGACTAAAAACACGGGTTCTTAAAAATATACCTCGTAATTAAACCGTATATTTAAATAATAGATTAGAATAAATATACAACTTAAAGGAAATTCCACATTGAATATCCGACTAATATGGGCGACCTACCCCTGGGTGATCTCTTTACACACTATTACACGAATTTTTAACATATATTTTATCGAAATATTTTACACCATCTCACATTTTAAAGCACAAAAAGTATACTAACTATATAATTCAAAAACTGCGACGTCAATATATTTAGTCCCCTGTAAATTGCATTTTCGATGCTTGCAGTTGACTATTTTTTTTTTTTTCGATATCATGTAATTTTTTTCCGGACCACCTTGGGCGTTAATTGGGCCTTCAAATGTCAGTGGATTTTGTTTTTTAGTTAAAATTAAGTTATATTTGCTTTGCAACATTTCTAAATTATTATTTAACATAAATTTTCTTTTTTATTAGCATGCTCCTGTAGAGGTACTGTTGGACGAGTACATGTCAAATGTTTGGAAAGATGGCTCACAGAGTCAGGGAAGTCAAGGTGTGAGCTTTGTGGCACCAGATATCTCACCAAACGAATACACAAATATGGAGTCCCGCGGGCATTACTTATGTGGGTGCTCAGCCAAAACGCCAAGCAGGTACGCGTTTTTGTTAAAGTTTTGGATTACAAGAGTCACTAGGGCAACATTTCACTTATGGCTTATGTGACTAATGTTGGTCGATCGTGACCGAATAGATCACACGCCGCTTTCAAAGTGTTGCCATCTCTGTGGGCCCCGGTTCGTTCCTTATCGAGTCAATGTAAATATCCATATTTCTTTATTATCTCAGGTCTAGGTGTTGTAGTACCTACATGGTATAGGATTTCCATAATGCAAGAACTAGAAGCAACTTAATTTGGGATTTCAGCAATGTATGCGATGTTATCTTATATACAGCGTGTTTGGTAATACCTGTATAATCCCGAAACATGGCCATACAACCTAGCACAAAGAACACAATTGATAGGTCAAAAAACAATTTCATGTAAATTGATATTTTCATACAAATATTTGAACAATTTGTTTTCAATTACTATGCTACAACCCTGTAAGCTTATACGTGCCGTCCCGGCGCACTCGCTCTTTCTCTCTCTCTCATTACCTCTCACTCTCTCGTTTCCTTGAATACATTTTGATGTTGCCGACGCGCGCACTCGAATACGTATGAGTTAACTTGTAATTAAAACAATTTAAGATTAAATAGGTACATACCTATAGCGTTCTAATCACTCTTTCAGCTTTCACTTGTCAACATTACCTACACTTCACCTCCACTTTATCAGTCCAGGGTCTCGATATGCCGGCCACCGCATAAAACACACATCTCCATTCGACTCGACACAGACCGTGTCGTGTTACTCTCGACGTAAAGTCATATCCTCTGTCTCGATGGAATAGGTGATCGGCCGGCCTACCTGTGGCACACTATGGAATGAACCAGTTGTATGTAACCAATTCACAAATGCTGCGAATCACCGGTAAGAAGGAAGACGTCGATGGTTTTCAGGTCTTCCTGACACGTGGCGCTCGTCATAACGCCGCCGAGCCGCAGCAAGATTACCGTCACAAGCACCGCCACACATTATCATCTCGTAATATTAGGCATTTGAGTACAAATTCATTGCACTGACCGCACACAAACATAATACACAGGTAAACAGAACGAGAATGAAAAACAAACCAAAAGTCCCGAAAGAACGAAAACGTAAGTTGACCTTCTAAATTCTGAAAACTCACAAGTACGCCGATGAAAGTCACGGACGCGACTGACGCGATGACCAAAACTACATAGGTTATTATTATTGCAACTCGAATACCAATGTACCTAAATCAAAAGTGTACCGATTTTGGGGTTCCGCGTCAAGAAATATTATTTATTATTAGACCTTTCCATTACAACTAACCTTTATTTAATTATCATTTAAACTAAGAATAAGAGAGATACTTAGATTATTAATATCATTGTATAAGTCCGTATTTTATTGTTTCGTGAAAATAACACGGCTTTGTGAAAATAACAAAACTTCAAAGCAAATAATCTACAGAACCTTACTGACACATCAGAAACCCGAGTTTCTCAATACACATCGTCGTCGATTTTATGTCTCTCTCGCTCCTTCTTGCATAGACTAATGTGAGCAATGGTGCAGATATTGAACTTCAATCAAAGTATTTGCAATTTCTTTTTTATTTTGACTGTATTATTACAGAAGTTTTCATATTAATAGTTTTTGAAACACCGTTAATCACAAGATTAGTGTTTTTTTATAGTTAAAAGTCATTTACTACTAACTTTTTCTTTGTTTGGAAATAATAAATTCCTCTCAGATGCATATTTATTCTAGGCATTTATCTTTAGATTTATTTAACTTCTGTTATTTTTTAAACTAGTTCGGCACATGGAGTCGATGACCAAATACAACACAACAGCTGTTTTTAGGGTTGTCAGCGTACAGTTTTACTTCGAAGAAAAAAAGCTGAATATCTAGGTCATGTGCTGGGTTTCAGTCTTAGTGATCATTTTTCTGGGTTCTATTCATCATACCGTATGTGCCATATTCGGGATTATACAGGTATTACCAAACACGCTGTATATAGCTGCATTCTAACATTTTAGAACGACACCTAATATGCGACAATAAGAATATTTAAAGGGAAAATTTCAACCCCGTTAAGTATATTGAATTGTACTGCAGTAGACGCAGAGTGCAAATTACTTTCATAATAGATATATAAAATATCTCACAACAACCATCGAGAGTCGGGGTGTACGAGTGTTCTACTAACAATATGACCTAAAACGTTTTTGTAAAATATCGAACCGCTGAAATATATTATTCATATATTGAACAAAGTTTGCAACAAACATTAAGGATTGTGTGTCAGTTAAGAATGTTTGTAGTCATTTTTGATGCAATAAAAAGGATGTACCTATGGTATATCTTAAAAGTACCCTTTATCTTAAGTTATCCCTTGATCAAGGATAGGTATATATAGAATTTGCAGTAGAAACCTTTATGTTGAAAATTTATAAATCTTAAGAGAATTTATTACTTTTATTTACCTCCAACAAAAATAAATAATATTTGTTTTCTCATAGTTGGACCTATATAAATATTTGTGTTAGCCTCGTAACTTAAACATTAAGTACTGAAACATAAAGGATATAATGCTAAGTAAATAAAAACATTTCTCTGGGGGTTCCCTGGATGGTCATAGGTTGCCGACCCTTCTTCAAACAAATTTCATATCATTCCAACGTTTTTTTTTTTGCAGTTAATGGTGGACAGCTTGGGAATCATGTTGATGTCACCACTAGCTGTATTAGCTGCCTGGTTGTCAGGTCGCACTCTAGCCGGCCTGATGCGCCAGGACAGCCACGCTGCACCGTGGCCATTGGCGTCAACGTTTGTTCTCGCGTGTATGACACTTGTTAGTATAATCACGTTTATATTAAATTTTATTCGGATCATCATCATCAGCCCTTTTACGTCCCCACTGCAGGGGGTCAGGTGTTCCTTAGAGATAATTAAGAAGGATGGGCCATGACTCTCCACGCCAGCCCATTGCGTATTGGAGGTTTTTAACGACCGCAAATGCAGTCCGGACCAAGGGCATTCCGAAACACGGAGTAGTACGAGATAGTAAATTTTTGGTCATCCATCCCGTGGCCGACCCTTGCAATAGTTGCATAACAACAACAATCGAGGGCCGCAGCGTTTATTCACTACGCCACCGAGCTACCCAATTATTCGGATAATTAAAAATAATTTCATGGATGGGTTTCTACATAATTACCAAATCATACGATTGGGTCTTGGACGAGCAAACAAAATAAAGAAAAGGTCTGTATATTCTATATGTCAGATCAGAAATAATATTGTTTATACACAAAATACAACACCAAAATCAAAACCAAAATATTTTTAGAAAAAAGATATAATCATTGAGCAAGAATTTACAATTGTTGAAATTATTTCTCGACTTGCCATCGATAGTGTTAATGCCTATGGTTTGATTACTAAAAAACAAATCAAACATTAATCAACTAATATGAAATATCGACAAGATGGATTACATTTAAGCAATATTCACGAACACAGTTTTTATTTATTTATTGAACTTTATTGACCAATATGAAGATTGTACAAAAGGCTGACTTAATGCTTTCTCATTTTCTCAAAAAGAAAATGTCTTGAAAGAGAGAGGTCTTAATTGATTGAATGTCGTCATTTAGACTATACCATACATTACCATTTTATTTAAAAAAAAAGTTTCATAGTGATGTAATTTTTTATCGATTATCAATTAAAAGCAACTAAGTGCGGGTCGACTACCGGAAAATGCATCAAAAGGAATTATTTTGTTTAAATTCGTATTCGGTGCTTTATGAATGCATTCGTCCGTACTGTTTAAATCAGTTCTTTGTCGACCTATTCAAGGGATCTTTGCCAATATATTATGAAATAAAATAACCATGTATTAATTGAAGTTATTTCTCCCTGGTATATTTCGTACAGAGACAAATCATCACAAAATGATACGCGAGGCTTAAAATTAAAAAAACATCCGAATTTTAATAGAGATGAAAGTTGGCATATACCATCGGTTTGGGATCCAGTAATTAGGCAAATAAAATCCCAATCTTGATCACACATTGCAAAACTAAATAATTTTTTAGTTAATTTTGTAAATATTAAATCATAGGGAGCAATTCACTTTTCTTGTCAGAGTTTATTTCGTCACTTCTTCTCAGACAAGACTCCCAAATTTGGAACTGGTGGTAGATTACGGTAGGCAGGGGATAGTTTATGTGTATCTATGCCAGGGGTAAATAAATAAGTCAAATGTATTTTTTAAATAATTCAATTTAATAAATGTAAACGTTAAATACAAACGCGATGAAAACTTTTTGAAAGTTATTTCATTTTTTGTATAGAGACGTTGAATTATACATAAAAAGTAAGGTCACTTTCCGTCACAAATTATGATTTTTATTGTTAAATTCTAATCTAGTAAATCTATTTTTCAATCGTATCAAGGAACGCGAGTGCGCAGTGATTAGTGCGCTCGGTCTACGATACGGTAATTAACACCACAAGTAGTCCGCGGAGCCCAGGAAAATTATTATAATAGAGGAAGGTGACTGACATACCCAGAGATCAACGCACAGACCAAACCGCTGAACCTAGAAGCCAGAAATTGTACATGTAGGTTCTTATATAACGTAAGTGAACACTAATATAGGAATTTTGGAAATTCCAACTGGATGAAATAGCGATATAAACTTTATATGGACCACGCGTGCGAAGTCGTTGGCAGAAAGATAGTAATAAAATAATGGATAATAATTTTAAACGTGTTACATTTTATGTATTTTTTTTTTATTTTATTAAGGAACAAAGTTTTATACATTTTATGAGCATAAAATATTAACAAAAAGTAAACCTACAGTTCTCTATATTACATTTTTTATAAAACATTTCAAAAAATTGAAGATAACTCTATAAAATAGATTAGTTACTACATTCATACATTCTATATAAAGTAATGATCAATATCAAATAATAGTGGTATTACCCACAGAATAGATAAAAAGGTTAGAATAATAACGTACTAACATTAGTACTAGGACCGCGCGTGCCACATATCACACAGACGTAAAACTTCACCTATTCGGCTCACAAAGAGACCGATGCTACCATTGGCTACAAAAGTTTCAGCAAAATTAGTGTATACTAGCGTTAGTGTTAGTGTTAGTGTATACTAGCCTATTAATACAGGTGATTTTACAGTAATACACAAAATGTATGGCCAGCTATAATAAAAATCTGCACAATTACTTTTGATAGTTCTAAATATTATATTTCGTGCGCGGATATTAAATTAGTTAATGTGCAAATATTTGAAATACATGTTTCATTACATAAAAATGTTATTGCACGACGTATCTGCATTAAAACAATTTTTCAAAATATAATGCAAAGAATTTTACGCTTCTGTCAACACTGAAATAGTGAAGTGCCCTGTGATTCACAATTTGATATCGATAATCAGAAAATCATAAATATATGGGATTAATATAATAAAATAATTTATCATTTAGAAATAATCCAAGAAAAATAAATACCACATGTATGTAATCACTTCACAATGTATATAATCAACCTTCACTTGAAACGGCTCGATCAATTAGACCAATGCGATTTTTGTCAGTTTTAATCAGAAGTAGGCTGCAACGGAATCACATATCAAGGGCAGGTGACAGTAATGACAATTTGGCGCTTTGGGGGCTAGATTTTATAATTTTAATTAGCCTTTTTTTCTATTATATAGTCAGAGTTTTATTTTTTGATACCTAGTTAATTTTTTTTTTTTGTATATTTAATCATCTTTATTATTTTTACTAACTATGTATTATATGAAGCACAATATATTAAGAATGGAAAATAATAACAAAGAAGTCTCATTGAAACTAAATTACAATAATATCCCAATATAATATTTAATTTGGCACTATAATCAAAAAACTAAATACATAATATTTCATTCCAAATAGGTATGTAAGTAATTTATCATATTATTTTATTTATTATTTAATATTAATGAAATCATTTTCAGAAAAATGTGTTGAACAAATGCAACTAGTTTTAGAAGGAAACCATTGACCATTTATATCATGCGTCAATCCACTTTTCTTTTATGTCGGGGTTTCTAGGAAAACTGAAACAAACATACATTACAACATCTAAAAATTACTGTTAACTATTTATCTTAATAAAAGTTTACTTTAATGTTATAATTGCATGTAAATTGATTGCCATTCATAATATTAGGGTTATATACTATTGATAACATGTTATCGATATCTGCAAGCACTATGTTAATAACTGACACAATCTCTCGAAAAAAAAATTGTGATTATATCTCCATATATTGTTCTATAACTAATATTTTTTACTTACCGATGAAATGAAATTTCTCCTTTTTCAGACTTACATTTTGACTACGCAAACGACACATAATAACGGCGCAATTCGGCATATTTTCATATTTTGTGACGCACCATAGACCAGTATGACATTGTGCAAATAATAAACTGCAAATTTGAGTAACGTGACGTTCATATGACCGTTTGGGCATATGGATGGTCGCACGACCCCGCCCACTTAATCGTTCTACCTTTTTATCTTTTCTGTGGTATTACCTATTATTAAGTTTCTACTTACATAACAATTACAATCATACATCCATTTTATGCAAGTGTTCAGCGATTTGGCGTTTAAATTTAATTAAGGAGGTTTCAAAAATATTAACGTCGTTGAAAACGTCGTTGTATATCGTGCAAGTTCTTTTGATACAGCTATTGCTTCCGTAACAAGTTTTAATTTGCTTTACAGCGATTATTGATTTTTTTTACTTGTCCTTTTCTGTTTCCTGGGAACTCGGAAGTCTATTTTTTTCAAAAGCAACGGGACATCGACTATATCATTTAAAATTTTAAACAAATAGTTTAAATATATAATACCTCTTCGGCGACTTAAGGAGTTTATATTATGAAAAACTAGAGAGGTCTCATAATCTAAATGTGGATTACCAGTTCTGTAATCTAATGATTTAATGAACTTGCGCTGAATTCTTTCAATTTTGTCTTGATGTATACGATGTTGAGGATTCCAAACGGAATCCTATCTACCTGAACACTAAATAAACATCCACCTGAACACTGTTATCCATTGCCTCCAATAAGATATCTGTACAACTTAACAGGTTGCTTTCAACACCTCGCTTTTTGCAGAAACCATGCTGTGACGGTGTAATTATACTTTTCATGGCACCCAATAACCTCTCAGTGACAATTTTCTTTGTATTTTACCGAACTGACACAGTTTTGAAATGAGCTGATATTCGACCACGTCCTGACCAGCACAACCATGAGGTTTGGCGTTATCGGTGCACGTTTCCACTCTTGTGGTATTATACCGGTACTAAGTGACAATTTGAAAATCTGCAGCAAAGGATGTGTTAATGAATCAGCACACATATGGCTCATATGGCCCATGGCCCAGCCCCCTTTCTTATATCGACACTTTTTAATTATTTATTTAATATATCAAATGTTACCTCAATATGTCACAAAATTAATCTTATTCTTGTTATTCCACACCAGCCCTTTTACGTCCCCACTGCAGGGGCTCAGGCCTTCCTTATGGATGGTTAAGGAGGATGGGCCATGACCCTCCACGCTGGCCCAATGCGGATTGGAGGGTATTGACGACTGCAAATTCAGCCGGGACCAACGGCTTAACGTGCCTTCCGAAGCACGAAGTAGCTCGAGATAATAATTTTTTGGTCACCCATCCCGTGACCGACCCTTGCGAAAGTTGCTTTACGACTACGATCGCGGGCCGTGGCGCTTATCCACTACGCCACCGAGCTTGTTATTTATTTGTATTAATTAGAAACTAGTAAAAATGACTATTATAACAGTAGTTTCTTTCTACTTGTTATGTGGAATTAGTAATTACCAAACACATTTTATCTCAAGTTCTTTTCAACATCAAATTTTGAATGAATTTGCTTACCTACACTTTTACATTTTTTTCGTTCAAAACACTGACTTTATCAGGAAAACCCTGTATACGCCGTTATTCATACCGAGAAGATAATCACTTTGCATTAAAATTTTAATTGAAAACTGTAGGACGATCAGCTGACTAACAACCAAATTGGCGTTTTGCGACTGGCGGCGCGCAGTGTTTTAAGACGGAAGTACTATTGTTATCTCTCTTTAAAAAACAGGAGAATTGTTCAACTAAAATATAATTCATCTATATAAATAATAAATCTACGTTAATTAACAATATCATATGTTATTATATTTCATCAATTTTGCTTTCACAATATTATACTGGAAAATATTCTTAACTAGTGGACGCCCGCGACTTCGTCCGCGTGGAAGTCGGTATCCCGTGGGAGTGAGAAGTTTTCCCAGTAAAAAGTACCCTATGTGTTATTCTGATGTATAACCTATATTGCTGTAAAGTTTTATCCAAATCCGTCCAGTAGTTTTTTCGTGAAAGAGTAACAAACATCCATACATCCATACTTACAAACTTTCGCCTTTATAATATTAATAATAGGATAGGATGAAAATACTTAAACATCCACTTTGTGATGGGATCACATCTCAGAGTACACTAAGTGGGTTAAGTGTTTTTCCTTAGCAATAATATCGTAGATCTCATTGGCTATTCCCTTTCTTTAGTACGTAATGTTTGTGCTAACTATACTACGATGTTTTTACACGTTTATATTTTTTTAACTTCGTAAATGTGAATTTCCGAATATATCTCAGAAAATTAAGTTTCTAGTACATAAGCGAGTTCCTAACATCTGTCTTCAGGTATGTTACTACTGCTGGATTGTATCTGCAGCTACGCGTCACGCCCTCGGCTGGTGGATTTGGTACCGGTCGCAGTATGAAGTCAGATTGCAGTTTGAGGAGACCGAAGAGTAACGTGGCTTTAGCCTATTCAACTTTAGGAACAGACTCAGTTGCCTAAATTCCCGTTTAGTTACATACAGTATTTGTAAATTATGATTTAGAGAACTGTTTTACACCTTTCGTGTATATGCTTAACCTTGTTTACCGAACTTGATAATACAGTTATTTGTTATAAAGCAATTTTATCAACAAAGACGGTTGATTTCTTGGACAAAATACAATCAAACATAGACTTTTACCAAATTCAGTTTGTTAAGTAAAATACATGTTATTTTCCCTTTGTGTCTTCTCCAAATATGTGAAAAGCTTCGTAAATAAACGCCTCATATTGCTTATAACACCTATTTATTAATATTTCATTAAATCATCGATATTTGTTACGCTCTCTGAAATATAATAGGGGTGTCGTTTGACATATTTTTATTACTTTATAATTGGCAACAAAAACATTCAATTAACAGTCAAGGGCGGACCTAACCTTCAAGCCAGGCTGTTATGTTGTTAAATTGTCAAAGTCAAGGTCAAGTCAGGAAAATGCAACCAACCTTCTAGTCAGGGGGGAGGGCACAAATCGCGATACATTTAGGATAATGAATTTTATTAGATTAATTCATCAGCATTACAAAAATTACAAAAAATATCAATGGTTAATTATAAATATCGCGGCTAAATACAGAATTTTCAAATATAGCTCCTTTTGTCATCTGCTGGCGGTGATAGTGTTAGGTAATAGCTATTTAAATGTAATACATATGAATTGTTTGTTATATTTGCCTGGTTTACTTTCGTATTAGGCTTTTGTCATTGTGTTGTAAAAAATTGCATGCAATAAAAGATCTTTTTCAATCACATTTAAATTTGAAATCCCAGTCTTATTATGTTAATGCATCAAATACCTAGACATCTATAATATGAAAGGCAAACCCGACTGACTTGTAAATGTGTATTGGAAATTTGGTACAGGGGTTCTTTTCATGAAATAATTGAGCACGAAGAAAGGATTCGATATGGGTCTATAGGATAAAATAGACTCCTGGCGTGGGAATTTTCTCAATTCTGGAAACGCGGACGAAGCTAGATAGCTAGTTAGATAGCGAAGGTAGATAGCTAGTATTATTATAATATAGAAATTAATGAAATTAATGTTCGCTGAAATATATAAAGTCCACTTTGAGTGGATACTTTCGCAATCAAAATATAAGTAAACATAATATTATGTAAAATATGGATTATTTGATATCGCATGGACAAATATAATTTTAAAATCGTCTGATTTTATGTTCATAAAAGCGTTTAATTTGAAAAGTATCTGAAAATGTATCACGAATTTTCGGAATATGTCTGTCTTTCAATTAAACATTCTGAAATGTTTTATCTTTTTCTGTCTAACGCTTGCCTTGAAATTAACGATATGTTTCAACAAATCGTCGCGAGCGCGTAGCGTGAAGTCCGTGAATATCTTTCCAAGTTGCAAATTGAAAGGATTGCGATAGATTTTAAAATTAGACATTTAAGCCCCTCTTATGGAACCCTAGTTATATAGGATCCTTAGAGCATTCTGATGGGATCAGAAATGTATGGGGGCGTAGAAATTAATTGCACAGATGTTTATTCTATATTAAAATTTCAAGACGAATCTTTTTTTGATTACGAACTCGAAAATTAAAAAAAATAAAATAAAAGGAAATTACTATGAAAAGTAATACTTAGTCCTAATTGCTACTATGCTATCCAAGGGTTATATTGTTATGCACAGACAAAAACGTAGTGTGCATTCTGTTGACAAAGTTCATTCTGTACATTGACCTAACCGGGAGTCAAAAAATATGGCGACAACTTGAAACCATCTTGCGAGCCACGAGTGCGAAGGTTGGAGATTTGGAAGTGCATTAAGTGCCACTACATTAGATGATTCAAACTTTTTTTTCTTTGTAATTGGATTCAACCTTGAATATCAAAGTTCAAACTAGTGTCTGAATCAACCAAAGGATAATTGGTTACATAATTTTGGCAACCGTAAAGAAATCCTAGACATAAGTACACCAATTCAACACCCACATTTTAAATACATAATCACGAACAAAATATCTTCAGAAATAACTACAGACACTTACTTACATACCAGACGCGACGCACAGACAAATATGATTATATTTAATACTCTTATAGGCTAAAGTCAGCCTCCACCGGCCTAACGCCGGCTCATGTCTGTATGGTAGAGATAGACTGTAAACATTATTACAAATATTATATAATAATAAATATACACGTCTGGAAGTTTATGTTGGTATAGGCCGGCCTGCGCTACGTTTTATATCGGTAGACTTAACAATTATTAGAAAAGGTTTCATTTTCTTTATTATAAGGCCGATAACCTTTATGTAACGCCACTTACAATGCTTTTGTCCAGGACGCCATTCACTTGTGAAGGACGTCACAATGTAATTAAATGTTTATTTAAATATTTAACATATATTGGGAGACTAAAGTAAACGCCACGGCCATTTAAACGCAACTGTTTATTGGTAACTCCTAGCAACAAAACAAAAGTACAATCTGTCACACTCCCACGGGAGAAAAACCGGAAGGTTGTATAAAATTAACAGAATGTAAAAATAAAATATTCTAAGTACCATAAACACAATAAACTTACTAAAAGGTCAGTCTGTCAGGTGGTCGTGAAATACGACCAAAACGAGTAGTTAACTGTCGGTCAGTAGTTAACAGTCGGTCAGTAGTGGAGTCAGCAGTCTCGTCAAGATTAGTGTCAGAAGTGTGGTTAGACACTGAATTTCGCCTATCCTCAGCCGTGTTTGCAGGTTCTTGATGAAGTTCTAGAGGATAAAGCCGTTGAAAAGGTCTAACTTTATAACCATTGCCGACACGAACTTTTGCCACACGCTCTTGACCGTCGCGACCCGCGTACGTCTCTACAATTACTCCTAAAGGCCACATCAATCGCTTGCACTCGGAGCCTACTAACACTATATCACCCTTGTGTAACAAATAATCCTCGTTTTTGACAGAATTTTTCTGTATAAGATTACTGATATATTCCGTACGAAAACGTTGGCGAAAATGCTCACGGAGTTCTTGACAATATTTGGCTCTCATGTTTAGAGCTTTACTGTCGATCTCGTCTAAGTCTTCAACGGAGTTTCCAGTCAAGGGTTGTATGAAGGACTGGGGTGTAAGTGGTCGTAAATCGTCAACGGCATTACTGACATATGTCAGTGGTCGGTTATTAATCGTAGCCTCGCAATCGCACAAAACGGTTTGCAATTCCATTAACGACACAGAAGCTCGACCTAGAATTTTCAAAAGAATTTGCTTGACCATTCCTACCATTCTCTCATAAAACCCTCCCCACCACGGAGCACCGGGAGGTGAAAATATCCATTGTATTTTGCGTAGTGCCGAAAAACTTATTATTTTATTCCACTCTAAAGAATTAAGCATATTATGAACACCAACAAAATTAGTGCCGTTATCGCTGTAAATACATCGAACCCTGCCACGACGTGCTATAAATCGTCTTAAAGCTTGAATAAAATCGTTACTAGACAGCGACTCCACGACTTCCAAATGTACTGCGCGATAAGTAGCACACGTGAACAATGCTATCCAGCATTTAGTTCGAGTTTTCAGCAACAACGGTCCGGCTAAATCGACCCCTGTTACCTCAAACGGTGCACTTGCATCTGTGCGATTTTTAGGTAATTTCGCCGGCTGTACTTGTTGTGGTTTTGCTTTATACCTTTTGCAAATGACACATTCCTTTACGACCTTTTTTACCAATCTTCTTACGCCAATAATCCAAAGGGTCTCCCGTAAATTTATGATGAGAGTTTGAGTCCCAGCATGGTGTAAAAATTTATGACGTTCTTCAACGAAACGTTGAACTATGATATCACGAGCTGGTAACACTATTGGACACTTAAAATCGTAATTGTCAGCTGTGTCATCTAACCTTGTAATTAAACGACGAATGTTGTCTTTATCAATAAATGTTTGTAAGTTATTTATTATACTATTATGTCTTGCTTGAATTAAACGGAATAAAGCTTTCTCTGCGCGATCAATTTCATGAAGAGATAAATCTGTATAAAATTTGTTAGATGATTTATATCTAAACCTTAACATCCAAGCAACCATTCTGATTATTTTTGAGTAAGATGAAAAGTAGGTTAGACGATCCAAAAAACACATATCTTCTACCAATAATAATTTTACAGAAGGCTTTTGTATTTCTTCATCTAACTGATGTGTATCTAATGAAAAATTAGTAGACGGCCAACGGTCAGAATTTAAATATAGCCAGGATGGACCGTCCCACCATTTGGATTCAATAAGTTGCTTAACACCAACACCTCTAGATGGTAAGTCTGCTGGGTTAAGATTCCCTGGGACATGTCGCCAAGCTTGTCGATCGGAATAGGTTCTTATTTCTCGTACTCTATTAGTGACGAAAACACTCCAATCGCCTTCTCCTTTAACCCAACACAAAACTACACTAGAATCAGTCCAGAAAAATACTGGGCAATCATTTAGATTTAAACTTGACAGTGCTACATTACCTAATCTAATTGCCAAAATAGCAGCTAACAATTCAAGGCGCGGTATTGTGATCTTTTTGGCTGGAGTCACTCTCGCCTTTGCCATCACTAAACGTACAGAAACTTCGCCTTTAAATTCAGAACGAAGAAAAATACAAGTAGCGTAAGCACTTTTACTTGCATCACAAAATACATGTAATGAATTCTGACACAGTGAAATATCATAACACGTTAATCGCCTTGGTATATTAAGTTCACAAATTAAATATAACTGGTCAGTCCACTTCCTAAATTCCTCACATAAATATGACGGCAACTCTTCGTCCCATGAAATTTTATGTGCCCATGATTTCTGTAGTATTATTTTTGGGATAATCGTTGTGGGACAGCAAATGCCTATCGGGTCGAAAATTTTATGAACTATTGACAGCAAGGATCTTTTTGTGATTCGTTCGCTAAGTCTATCTATAAAGTTCACATTACAGCTCAACTGATCTTTGTC